GGCAAGGTAATGCTATGGCCCAGTGCTGCTTCTAAGCTGGGCCATCTGGGCTGCTCTAAAAGTTCCTCAAAAAGAAAATTGGCTGCCTTAAAAAAAACTTTTCATATGGGCTTCCAGCGCTCGCCGCCGACCGCATACTCTGCATCGCGCCGTCACTGGCAACGCTGGCCGGTCACCGCCTCATGGGCTCAATACGACAGTAGATCGACAAAATAAAGATGGCTTGTTGCGAACAGCGGATATCTAGCTTTATACCTGCTAAAGGTTGGATGCGATAAGTGACGGGGAGAGAGGCACTGAAACTGCGAAGACTTCGACTCGATCTCCGAACGACCGGAGAACCACAGTCCGGAACTAATCCACACAAAACGTTGCAGCCGTACTCGAAACCGTAGAGCATGAACTAGAAAAACACAGAGGGATCTCTTCACAAGACCAAAAAAAAAGGAAGAACAAGAACAAAGGTATGAGTAAGATACTCGGCAGCTCGGCTACAATATCAGGGGTTTATCAATTTAAAAAAAAGTTTCCTAATAATTTAGAGACAGAGGATACTTATATTAGAAACAACCCTCCTACTTAGGTGTGAAAACTAAATGGAGTTTCTGAACATAGGCTATGTGAAATGTCATCGCGAGATGGATTCTCGAAGTGGTCTGCGCAATTGTTGGCCTCATGAGCAGTCTCCCATAATTTGGCCATAACTCCTTATTGGGAAGTCCAAATGACGAACAGTTTGTTAGGTGTGAAAGTAGACTTGAACATCTTTCCAATCATGTGTAGAATGCATCACGAAACATCGTAGAATGGTACAGTTTTACATGGAAAGTTGTACCAACATTGAAAAGACTGTTGACCTTCCGTTTTTATCGGATTGGTCTGTGTTTATCACATTGGTCCGTGTTTATCACACGGGTCCATTTTTATTAAACTGGAACGGATGATGAAAACCTTAGTCCCGATCGTCCTTCTCCTTAGGCCATGTATCTTCCAATCTCTTTATGTGTGCACCTAAGTAACATCAAAGTAGAACACTTAGGTAGTATTACATCCTTATAAATATTGAAATCAAAATCAATTAGGAATAATTGTTCAAAAAAGTTAATAAGGAATGAATTCACCTGTTCCTGTAGTTTCTTGCTACAGCTTCGTGTAAGTGGCCTGTGATTACGATCACTTGTGTTAGATGGTGAAAGATCTTCATGTGATCGAACATAACAAGTGGGATGTCCTCGTCACTCCGGCTCTGAAAGGCACTCAACGAGGGCCCTAGGTGGCGGCGCCGGGTTTGGCGTTGGGCCGAGCAGTTACTGCGGCTAAGCAATTCGACTCGGCGGCGGCGACCCCGACTCCTCCCGTCATCTTATTGGTCTCGATTGCAATTGCTACCTTCCGGTGACTAGATCTTTGCCTAACTAGCTATCAAGTTGTTTTTTCTCTCTACTGGAGTTTCTGATTATAGATAGGATTGGGCCTTCTAGTTCTAGTTTGCAGTAGTATTCTTGGTGGTACGGATCGATGCAGTAAATTGCTGCTGTAAACCGAGATTAAGCGACTGTTTTACGGCACTACTTCAGCGGTACTTTTCAGCGAACGAGCAGTATTTTTCTCTCACAACAAATTAGCATAAGCATCAGCATAAGCCAAATTTCAGCGAAACGAACAGGGCCAAATTTCTGCATAACATTACATGTAAACTTGTGAAGTGCAGGAGGATGCTTTTGCGTGATAATCTCAAGTCATTGCTATGTGTCCACACTTGATTACTACAATGGCACAAAAAGTCATTTAAAATCCTGCATAACTCCACTCAAGATCATGGTGGTGCACTAGAGCTTGAAGTACGTGAGGTCTTGGAAGGTCAACATCAGTGCCAACCTATAGAGGATACCTTTTGTTCGCATTGCCATTATTTAAGATGTTCAATTTCCTCCATCAAAAAATTATGCCTGCTAGTACATACATATATTATTTTTCCCTTGCTAGTATAGAGAGAAATTAGCAATTGCGTTGCATCTGAATTCATTATATGTTTTAACATATCTTTTCCTATCATTATATAGTTATATCATGTACTTTGCAAGCAAGAGATTATGACAGTACGTAGGCAAATCTACACGTGCGTGTTTTTGAAACTACATTTAAGGTCAAAGTTTAGAATTTTGACCACATCTTCTTATCCATCTAGTCAGAGCTTTGGTTGAGTAATTTGACCATCGTCTCCCTTGGTCGTCTTGCACTTGCAGAGCCGTGAGCCTAGCGGCTACTGACCTTGGTGTCTGTCGGCGCTCATCATTCCACCAGTCTGTTCATTTGGCATTGGCAAACGACCAGTATATAGCTAGGCTAGCTAGCTGCAGCGATCCCCACAAGAATCCAAGATGAAGATGGAGACAACGATGGCGATGCGCTCCTTCATCTTCGTCCTCCTGTTCCTTGCCGCTGCATCATCAGCATCCGCCGACTCCTCCAGCAAGGACCAGTGCCACTCCGGCGACAAGGCGGCGCTGCTGGCCATCAAGGCAGCGCTCGGCAACCCGTACCACTTCGCGTCGTGGACGCCCGACAACCCCTGCTGCGACTGGTACGACGTCGACTGCGACGCCGCCACTGGCCGCGTCGTCGGCCTCGCCGTGTTCCAGGACGCCAACCTGACGGGCACCATCCCTGACGCCATCGCGGGCCTCGTCCACCTCCAGAACCTCAGGCTGCACCACCTCCCCGGCATCTCTGGTCCCATCCCGCCGGCCATCGCCAAGCTCTCCAACCTCTCCTTCCTCACCATCTCCTGGACGGGCGTCTCCGGCCACGTGCCGTCGTTCCTGGGCGCGCTCACCAGGCTCAACCAGCTGGACCTCTCCTTCAACGCCCTCACCGGCGCCGTCCCGGCCTCGCTCGCCACGCTCCCCAGCCTCTACAGCATCGACATCAGCCGCAACCTTCTCACGGGCTCCCTGCCGTCGCTGCTCTTCAGCAAGCTTAACAATAAGGCGCAGGAGGCGTACCTCCGGCTGTCGCACAACAACCTCACCGGCAGCGTCCCAGCCGAGTTCTTAGCAGTGGCGTTCGCGCAGGTCGACCTGTCCCGCAACGCCTTCGCCGGCGACGCGTCCGGCCTGTTCGGCAGGGCGAAGCCGGTGCAGCAGATGGACCTGTCGCGCAACGCTTTCAGCTTCAACCTGTCCACCGTGGAGCTGCCGGAGCAGCTCATCTCGCTGGACCTCAGCCACAACGCCATCTACGGCGGCATCCCGGCGCAGGTGGTGAACCTGACCAACCTGCAGTTCTTCAACGTCAGCTACAACCGGCTCTGGGGCGCAGTGCCAACCGGCGGCAACATGGCGAGCTTTGATGCCTCCAGCTACCAGCACAACAGGTGCTTGTGTGGCACTCCGCTTGCTGATCCCTGCAAGTGAACTGACAATCGTGTAACTCTTTTAATCAAACTATTATTCTAATAAGGAATAAATCGATTTTTCTCTGTCTTTGCAAGGAAAAAATTGCAAAAATGATACTCGGAAAGATTGACTCCTTGATTATGATGACACTCGAATGGATGACAAGTGAGTCCATTTGTGTGTATGAATATGGGTCCAGTGTCAAATCTGCAAACGACCGATGTTTCGAGTCCCATTTTTGCATGCAAGCATGCATGTTTCTGCCTTCCTGGTAAACAAATTAAGCCATGCATAGGTCTGCTTTCTCTTGTATGTATCATGCCCACATTTTTCTTTTTTTTTGAAACGGGTGCTTTGCAAAATGACCAAACAACAGCCCACCTACACTAAATGTATGTACCATGCCCACTCTATTTCGATGCAAGATCAAGAAGGTTTTTTTTTTATCAAGGAAACATCAAGTTATCAGAGTGGAAATGGCTTACATACAGAAATTCAGACGAGGTCTCAATCTCAACACGTTGTAACTTCTGCTGAACAAACTTCCAGTTCCAGTGGGGTCAATATATATATATATATATATATATATGCAGTAAATGTGCAGAATTTGTGGCTTCTCAGATGCCCTAGCATTGTTCTCCATTGAAGTCGCTTCTCGAGTGCCACCACGCCAAAGGGACGTCTCCTTGCACAATGTTAAGTTATTATTATAGTTCAAAATGGTCCATCATCTTGAGACCGTCCTCCTGAACGAACCGAAGCAATCAGCATGCAACCATCAGGACAGCTGGGATAATGTTGGTTGCTGTGGCCAAAAGACGATGTCAGATTCCACAGATAATAACACTTGATAGTATATTTGCTGGTCTCAAGTACAGATGCAATTTTTCTCTATTTTCACGCTATGGCAATGTTTCAGCCTTCAGGTGAGTAAATGTAATAGCACTTGGTAGTACTGTCACATACTGGTAATCAGCCTGCAGAAATGATTCAAGAATACTGCTAAGAGATAACTCTTCGATAGTAAATACCACAAGCATAGCACTCCATGCCATCTGGACCAGAAGATTGTCTTCACTTTGCAGACTGCAGCTCCATGGACATATCTGCAGCAGGAATGATACCAACAGGACATGTGCTATGTTTGTTTTAACTTTGGAGTCTTAAAAGTAAGTTATAGATTATGGGACCCTAAGTTATGTTAGATTCTTAGAAGATTCCAGTTTGGATTCTAACAATCTGCTTTTAAAACGTACCCTGGTTGCATTATCTTCAACATTTAAAACCAGAATCTATCACCCTATGACTTCTTGGTTTACCAAGTGCAAATGCAGTTATCTTTATATTTTGTAAACAAGGCCAATGTTTCAGCTGCTACCTTATGTACAACTTGAAACAAACCTTATAGCTAATACACATTTCTGCTCTTCAACAAGGGTATTAAAAAAGAAAAAAAAAGAAAGGAAGAGCCACAAAGTCATCAGAATTTGCAGATCAAATCACTATATCCATTTCGTCCTCTGGTTCTCAAGGGAAATATCCACAACACACTCATGTGCATCAGTATCATGATTCACGAGGGGGGAAAGCGATGGAGCCTCATTAAACAGTCGTTTTGCTCAAATCAATGCCCCCTGGATCTGAGTCATCCATAAGGTTCCTTAGACCCACTCTCAGATCTGGCACCCCCTCCTGCAAGATGGCGCAAACTGGAAATATAGGAACACCCTGCACTCTCCTCTTCAGTTCCTCGTACATCTCTTCAGCTCCCTCTTCGTCTATCTTGTTTGCCACAATCAGTGATGGTCGCCGAGTCAGACCTTCTTGGTAATGCTCCAGCTCTGAGATCAAATCCTGCAGCTGCTCCCAAGGAGGGACACCCTTCCTGCCATTAAGCGTGGCTGCAAGGTCAAGCGCATAGGCAAGAACTTTTGTACGCCCTATGTGCCTCAGGAAAGCATGACCGAGGCCACGGTTCTCATGTGCTCCTTTGATCAGGCCAGGTATATCAGCCACTTTAACAGAGTAGTAGTCCTCGTAGGTCAGGCTGCCAATGTTGGGCCTCAGTGTGGTGAATTCATAGTCGGCTATCTCTGGCTGTGCCCTAGAGAGAGAACTCCACAATGTGCTCTTTCCGGCATTAGGAAATCCAACTAGACCGACATCTGCAATGCTCTTCAGTTCCAAGATAAGAAAGCTCTCAGTTCCTGGCTGCCCGGTACTTAAGCGGGCTATCTTTTCTTGTCTGCTTGCTTTGGAAGGCCGCATCTCCTTAATGACAAAAGCATTCCCTAGTCCACCTTCCCCTCCTCGTGCTATGATCAACCGCTGCCCAGGTTTCGGCATCTCAGCAACACAATATTGCACATCTTCTTCTTCCCTCTCTTCCTCTTCCTTGTCATCCTCATTGTCAATGTTGAACTCGTCTTCATCCTCCCAAAATTCTTCATCTTCGCTTTCAGTCTGATCCTTTTCATCTATCCCCTCCTGACGTGGATAGCTTCTTACATCAGAATCAGTGTTTGAGAACCGAGGCACGGAGGATGTACGAAAGTATTTTAGCTTCTCCGACTGACTTTAAACAAGCTTAAAGTCAGGTATCAATGACTTCCCAGAATTCAAATAATCCATATCATATTGAGACATATTGTCTACCTTCACACTTTAGGTTCATTTAAATAAGGGTAAAGTATAATTTACACCCTCCAACTATCGCCAAAGTATAGATTTCAACCTCGAACTTCAAAATCGGATAACTTTGGCCCTCCAACTCAAAAGTTCAAATTTCAACCTTCTGGGTGGTTTTGCATATGAACAGTACTTTTGATATTTTTAGGAGGCGTCGAAATTTTATATTATCTTTTTAAGCATCTTAACGTCCTCAAATAAAAAAACTCAAAACTACAAAGTTGTAGATCTCATTGAGAGCTACAACTTTGGTATAAAAAGTATTTTCATTTAACTCCATACAAATAATATATTAGTGCTCTAATGCGGCAAGCGCTAGTTGACGATTATTATGGTGCTGAAATTTTATATTATTTTTTCGAGCATCTTACTGTCCTCAAATGAAAAAACTCAAAACTACAAAGTTGTATATCTCATCGAGATCTACAATTTACATATAAAAATTATCATCATCCGCCATTGTATTGAAGGGTTTTCTATTTTTTGAAATTAGAGTCTCATCACGCGACAAACAGTTTTTTCGTGTGATGAGACTCTAATTTCAAAAAATAGAAAACCCTCCAATACGATGGCGAATGAAGATAATGTTTATATATAAATTGTAGACCTCGATGAGATCTACAACTTTGTAGTTTTGAGTTTTTTCATTTGAGGACAGTAAGATGCTCGAAAAAATAATATAAAATTTCAGCACCATAATAATCGTCAACTAGCGCTTGCCGCATTAGAGCACTAATATATTATTTGTATGGAGTTAAATGAAAATACTTTTTATACCAAAGTTGTAGCTCTCAATAAGATCTACAACTTTGTAGTTTTGAGTTTTTTCATTTGAGGACGTTAAGATGCTTAAAAAAATAATATAAAATTTCGGCGCCTGCTAAAAATATCAAAAGTACTGTTCATACGAAAACCGCCCAGAAGGTTGAAATTTAAACTTTTTCAAAAGTTGGAGGGCCAAAGTTATCCGGTTTTGAAGTTTGAGGTTGAAATTTATACTTTAGCGATAGTTGGAGGGTGTAAATTATACTTTACCCTTTTAAATAAAATCCAGGAAATTCCAATATATTCATGATCTAAATTTTCAATCAGGGTATTTTTTGTGAAATAGGATCTTACATCAAGAACAACCATCAGTGCAGCAACTATATCTTAAGCAAAACATATGACATTTTTTCAATACATACCATGTGATGCTGCAAGCCACTGAAATCCCAGATAGACCTGGAGCACTCAAGAATTATATCACCACCCTTCCCTCCATTACCACCTGCATTTGTTTTTTATTCATTATCAAGATTAATCATTCCAAATGCGAATAATAATAATAATCCCAGCAGTGCTATGTTAAAAAACAGAGTATCAGGAACTAACTTCGAGAAACAGAAACTGGGGAAACATTCAGATATAATATAATTAGCAGGGATTAATATCTACTATGCACAAGATTTTTTTAGACTTCCAGAGATCATCCTCTGACTGTAGCATTGCATTTGGACATCAAATTTAGTGTTTACAATACCGATGCACCTCTAGTATCAGGTGGTCAAGCATTAGCTCCCCATACAAGTATCATCTCTGAAAATACCATTTTAAAGACTGCTAGATATTATCTGTTAGTCAATTAAACAGATTACGGGAAATACCAAAAAACAACAGGGCAGTTCAGATGAGGACAATAGACGGTTAACCTAGTGTTAAATCAATAAATTTACCAGCAGTAAGAGCTCTTCAAATGGATAAAACAAGTAAAGTGGAACTTGAAGATTGATCTTCATGATGAAGGGGATCATTAATTTAACTAGAAAAGATGGAGTTCTATTGTGAAGTGCTAATACCAGAACCAGAGCTAATTTCACCAGGGCATTATATATAGTATTATTACAAAAACAAGCAAGGGCAGCACAAAAGGGAGCGGTCTCTCACCGTCAGGCATGCCATGGAGGTTGGACCTGGAGCGCCGGAGGCTGACACAGCCATTGCCGCCGTCACCACCCTTGGCGCGCATCCGGAACTTGTCCACCATGCCCGGCGCCTGCACCAAACCCATCAGTAAACAGACAGGGGGAAAGGGAATCGGGAAACGGATATGGCAGAAGACCTGCAAAGGCGCTGACTTTCCATTCCTTCCCTCAGGCGCAGACCCATAGTAGCATCCCTGCCGGCTGGCCACCCAGGATGACGGTGACGAAAAGCTTGCGCCAGCGCCACCGTCCTCAATGGCAGGAGCTGGCGGAGGAAGGTCTTCTGCCGCCGCCACATGTCCACTCCACTCTACTTGTCCATGATCAACAAGGAGCCCAAGGTCCGAGAATGGAGAATGCCCCTATTGCGGGCGCCTTTCAACCTCGCCCACCACCGTCGGCACGTCGTGGCGACCGGCCTCGTGAAGAGTGGGGAACAGGACAGACTCTGCTTGGCTCTGGTGTGAGCTCCAAGCCCAATAGGGTTTTAATAAGGTGAGCCTTGGGCCTTGGGATTCTAACCCAACACTCTTCTTCCTTCCTCTGTTGCCTCCTCTGCTCTCTTTGAATGAAGTTTGGGATTCGAGTTGTTTGCATCTCAAATTGCAAGCAATGCGTTTATCCACAAGTTACCTATCAACACATAATTGTCAGTGCTGATTTTTAGTTATAGTAATTAATAAATCTGTAATTCAAATATCGGTAAATAAGGGAATTTTAATTTTAAAAGTGGGTGGGTGCATTTTGGTATTATGTGAACAAGCCAAGCATCCAGATGCAATGTATTTGAGAAATTCTATGCTGAACAACTCTTTTGCGAAAACTGCAGTTTTTGTCTCTAGGAATGTGTTCAAAGGCGCCTTGCACTTTTTTTTCTGATTCTGTTGCAGGATTTGGAGAGTCTCCACTCCACTACCCAATCAGAGAGCTGAATCTACATATTACAAACACTGTTTGCCACTAGTTCATTGTGAAGTATGAATACCCATATTTGTTTGTACCGCCAAAATAGAAGCACCCTGGACTAAATGTGAAGGGACCAAACCATGTAAAGACAAGTTCCAGAAAATCTACTATAGTTTGTTATCCCAATATGTATTATGTAATTTCCTATCTAGGTGGGCTCCAACATATATAGTACATGTGTTCGTCTTTGATGGAATGAAAGCAACACTAAAAGCATACGGCCTAGCTACTAACTGATCCTCATTTCCACAATTCATCAACATGCATAAGACCTTTATTAGAAATCTTCCAACACAGATTCAACAGCAGTTCCATATATGTATCCACGCATCATGAGATTATAACCTATTGATATTTCATACTGATTACCAATGAGATTAGATGGGCAGACATTCATTGGTGGTCATAGTAATCATATAACAAGACGCACTCAGTGCAGGGACGGGCCCAGTGATAAAGGAAATGACCCGAATAGAAATGGGTGGATAGCTTTAAGTTAGGTTTTGGGTGTTCGGTTTCGCACAGGGGAGGCAGGGAAGGGTGGGCGGGCATACGCATACCTGGTGGGTGCTCATCGCCGGTGAAGGGGCGGACGATTAGACGAAGGCCTGGGCACCTGGCGGCGGCAGGGCAGGGGTGAACCATGACGGGATTTTGCCTGGACTGGGCTGGGCTGGGCTGGGCTGGCAATTCGTAATTGGGCGGCAAGTTTGTTTTTGGGCCAGTAGCAACGACCACAACACTCTTCTGTACCTGAGCATTTATTTTGGCCTGGTCTACGAATCGGCCCGATGCCGATGTACAGTATTTATTTGGGCAATAGACAGGGACTGGACAGCTAAGCACAAATTCGAGAAAAAATTTATCAGCCTAAACCTGGCCCGACGTATTTATTTTAATTAGCTTCTCAAGCCTTGCTATACAAGGTACAAGTGATCACAATGCATTAGCATAGTGCCCCAGGTAAGTCGCTGACATCAATACACCATCCAGCAAGCCCAGCAGCGGACAGTCTAGGAACACAAACATCATTCCAGCGCCACCACACCTCCAAATGACGTCAATGTGGAGCAAATCTCTTCACTGTTCCACATTGGCGTTAGCTCTGTATCGCTACACAAAACAAACGAGCATTACAAATATTCAACCCGAAGCACAGGATACTATCCAAACAGAAACATCTCGCCCTCCACCCTACTGACAACATTATGGGATCTCATCGTTGACTAACCCTTTTCATCAGGTCTCTCATTTAGTAATAATAACAACAAGTACAAAAATGCATTCCTGCCACCAAGTGGACACGTAGGCCAAACATCACCAGATAGCACCAAGTCATCCACGTCCAACCAGATGCCAAAATTACAGCACTTGAGCGGCAGTGTTCAACTTCTCGGCGATGCTGATTTGTGTCCTTGTGATGCTTGACAGGTATACCAGCGCAAGGTTATCCTGTGGGGTCAGTTATTGTTAACTCATCAGCAACCAAAGCAAGGTGGACATCCTATACTGGCATCGAGAGGCACAAGTAATTTACCCGAATCTTGTCATTGAAATGCTTATCGAAAGCAGCTGGGGACAATTTCGGCATTGAAGCAACAGAATCAGAGATGAACCTCCCAATTCTGTTGTCAGGTGCCACACGTCCTTCCTTCAATGTCATACATATGAGACAATTGACACTCACATCCAAACGAAATAGGAAAATGTTGCAGGAGAGATACTTACCACAACATCATCGACGTATTTGTAGATCTCATCAATAAGAATGTAAAGCTTCTCCATTGAGGACTCCATTCCTTCCAGATCATTGGGGAGCTTCTCTACCATGGTAGATTTCAGGATCTCAACTGTAACAAAAGGTAGTAACTGTGATGGAAGTTTGAAAATACTCTGCTACTAAAATTGACTGTAGCAGCTAGCGACACTATGGTTCTGAGAAATCAAATACAGCAATGGAAACAGACACATTATTATTATCAAACTACAGCCGCGAATATGCATGAGAAGTTCAACAAAGTAATTGAAAGACTAACTAATACACATGTAACATGAAATTTTCCCCCAAACAGCAGGTAAAAATTTGCAATTCACTGGCAACTAAATCAATACATATAAGAACGTAAACAAATTTAACATTGCAAATACTGAAAGGCTACAGTTAGCAGAGTTTGTGGGTTCATTCAATATTTCAATGTAGTAAGTTCATTCTTCTATGCCATTTACATATTGCTTGTAGTGTTTCGGTTCTTCGAAGTTCATTTACAGTCACCCAAAACAATCATAGATGAATTAGCAGACAGGAAAGTGATACATACATCCAGCCTTTTCTGCCTCAATCATCCTTAGATCCAGAGGAATTTCCTGAAATTGAGCAGCAAGGTGCCTATCTCCGAGGGACAGGTTGGATGAGATGTAGGCTTTGATGGAAGCCTCCCCCTAGTGAAGCCAGTGTCGACTGTAAGATGGATGGGGTTTTGTACTTCCCTTGAAGAACTCATGGATGAGCGTACTTCCCCAGAAACACCAAATCCAGTCGAGAAACTACAAGCAGACAGTAGATAGGTAACAAACAGGTTTGAACAGTTGAGTAAGGATCTTGGTAAATTAATTCAGACTTTGCAAAGCGACTTTTCTAGTGTTTGGGAATGTGCTTTTTGACGATATCAAACCAACAGACACAGCATATAGCTCTGAGCCCATCAATTATTCTGAAGCACAAAGACGGTGTTAGTTGATCTCCACCAATGGGCCCTTATCTCTGCTCCCTGATCGGGAGAGCCCAACCCTAATTCGGTTGGTGGGCCCCTGTCGCACAGCACACATAAAAGGAAGGTGGGGGTGAGGGCTCGAACAACGAGGTTGAACGGAGCCGCCATCCACCTACAGAGCTAACCCTAATTCGATCCTAAAGCGTGCTGCCAGCGACGGGATGTGTCCCACCACCACCGCCGTCGCCTATGCAGGGACACTGCCGGCGCCACTGGACTGGGTCTCCACAGTGCCACTGGATCGCCACCATCACGGACTCCACCGAGCCAGAGCTACCACGACACCGGCGTCTACCCGTTGTTGTACATCTACGGAGAAGACATGGATGAGGTCTTCCCCGGATCTACGGGTTACTTACACAGAGGTACACACATCGATCCTAACAATGGTACCAGAGCTGGTTGCCTTTGTGTTGAAACAACCCCGATTTCCACGAAGGGAAATCCACAGAGTCAAAGTGTAATAAGACCGTTGTAGATCAAATTACCCAAATTCCAGTCGAATATCACATCCATACAACGATAATATCAGAGTACAAATAGTGCGGAATTACATAATTTATTACATCGCCGCATTGGCATAATCAAAAGTAGCATTCATTCAAAACAGCTTGAAGATAAGATCGCCAAACTCGAGCGTAGGAACGAACCCCTCAACCGTCAAACTCCTCGGAGCTATACTCCTCAGCAGAACCTGTGTGCCAAAATTTATCAGTACGATTTGTACTGGCCACTTCCAACCCTATGAGCATTGCTTTGTGGAAATTGGATGCAAGATGGATATAATCAAAAGGAACCTATAAAGCTGGGGTTTCCTATGTATTAGCATATTAAGTTCATAATAATGGTTGGTCAAGTTTTAACACCATTCTCACCTATTCCACCCCATTCCCATTCCAGAGCCAGGTTTCGATCCTGGGATCGATATACCACCATATCCACACCATCACCATACCACACTCATTACATCGCTCAGTCGACAGGCCAACTCCCTCTCGGTACTGTCTCAAGGCCCGTAGCCCCTGGCTACGTCCGAACACTCATCCCAGGGGGAGAAAAGAAAGACTCATCTCTCTATCTAGTTTAAGCGAAACTCAGGAAAGGTCCATGGCCGACAAGTCGGCATATGTATCGATCGATCAACCATACACTCTGTAGAGGTTTTACATAACCACAAGATCCGCCTTCCTTGCTGATCGTTGTCAACTACGCTGATTCCGGCCGCTTGCTAGCCTAGGATAATGCCACTCTACCATTCAGCCCTGGTACACCCCAAGTCCGGTCTAGGGTGGCTGAAACTGTGAGTCATGAGCCGGGTCCACAAGGTCTCCATGAAGTCTCGGAAGGGTGTGGGGGAAATCCTCCGTACCCCGTACCTCCTTACACTGTCCGCTAACAACCTAGCAGTAGTGGCAATATCCTACCAAGTAGTCCGGCCGTCCCGCACCATATAGGGCGAGTGGTACGTAAGGCTTCCCGGTGAGTCTGAGTACTAGTAAGTCCTTAGGGTTGACCAAGCCAGAATGTCTTCATCAGGGTTTCCATTTACCGTGCCACCACAGCACCTCCACCCTGGGCTCCTCCCATCACAGGATCACACCCAAGGCCACCTCATATACCATTTACCCACCACAGGTATCCATTCCAGGGGTGCCCAGGTAGCACCCCATGGCAAGACTTGCCCCAGGCTCGTCGTATACTCCAACTTGGTCGACACAACCCTCACCCTCCACGCACCCAAGTCACACACGCAGCACTCTCCCCAATCACCAGTTTCCACCACGCATCAATGTAGTGTAAGCATAGTAGAAGTAATAAGCAATGAAATATAATAGCAAGCGTGTGACTAGCCTAATAGCAGGGTGAGCAGGGGTAAGGTTGCGTCAAGGTAAAGGCCATCAAGAAAGCATACTACCATGTAAGTCCTACCATAATGTGATCATGACAATAAAGTAAGCGCTATCATTTCTATATTAGCCATGCGTAATAGGTGCTACGAGATTGGGTGGGATGTGGCACCTTCAGTGTAGTCGTCTCTGTACTCCTCACGGTACTCACGATCCTCGTCCGTCCGATTCTCCTCCGAGTCTGCAAACGACCGCATTATAGTCGTGTTAGCGACGTCTATAGAATAGCACAAAGAAGCAATGAAAATTCAAAAGAGCCAAATGCACTCAAACATGGGTCCATTGCGTAGAGCTCGATTTTAGATGAATTTTGGTCCTGATTTCGTATTTTTCCGAGGTCGTATGAATTAGTTATGAATTTCCGAAGATTAATTCCATTTCTGAAAATGAAAAAGGCTGAATTAATCCTGGGCTGACACATGTCACGCTGTGGTTGGTCCACGTGGCTTGCTGACGTCAGCATGACGTCAGCATCACGGTTCCGGGCTGGTGGGGTCTAGCTGACGTCAGCATGACGTCATCAACGTCATGCTCACCGACAGGTGGGGCCAGAGGCTATTGAGTCACTGACAGATGGGTCCGGTCAAGGTCAATGGCGAGTCAACAGTCAATGGTCTTCGGTCAATGGTTAGGGTCACTGACGTGTGGGACCAGGGCTGCTGACGTCATCATCTGATGTCATCGTGACGTCATCATGACGTCACCTCGGCTGTGCTGGCTTCTGACATGTGGGTCCCGCGTGACGTCATCATGTCGCCAGCATGACGTCATCGTCTGACGTGTGGGTCCAGCAACACTGTGTCGCTGATATGTGGGGTCAGGTCAACGGTCAACACGGGCCGGGTCTCAGATGGGCCGGTTGGGCTCCGGGTAGGGCCGGTCTAGGCCAGGCCGGGCCAGACATGTGGCAGGCTGTGGCACAGCCACGTCACGACCATGGGCCCTTATTGGGCTTCATCCACAGTGCGGCTCACACCGTGTGGCCCACGGTGGACCAGCGCTCATGGTCCATAGACCTACGGCAGGGCGCATGGTGGACCAAGTCCACCATCTCTTCTCCTTGGCTCGGCTCACGTGCACCGAGCCTACGCACGGGTGGCCGGTGAGGGGGGGTGTTCCCCTGTTTCTTACCACGGCGGTGCTCCCGTCGGCGGCGAGCTCGCGGTGAGCCCCCGCGGTGGCTCTGGTGTCCGATTGGGGAGGGGAAAAGCTTCCTCGGGTCACGGCGACTGTGTCTGTGGGGTCAAGGGGTGGCCAGAGCTTCCCCAAGGTGTTGGCCACGGCAATCGGCGGCTCAAGCTTCACTGGCGTGCGGGAAGGCGTGGTGCTGCGGCATAGGCTATTTCTGTGGTGCGCGTGGGCGACATAGTGCTCCAGCGAGCATGTTGGGCAGGTCGAGAGGTCTTCCAGGGGCTCCGGTGACTTTGGCCACGACGGCGGCCTTTCAAGCACAACGGCGGCGAGGCGCGCGGGTCTCTACGTGGCTCCAGTGGGGTGGTCACGGCGTGCGTGTGGTTCCAGCGATCAACACGGGCGAGACGAGGGAACGCCAGGCGCTCCCAGTGAACTTGTCCCCGGTGGAGTCGTCGTGGTGGCGGCGGTGCTCCGGTCGTGGCGCGGTGTGGCCTCCGGGGTCCTCCAGTGGCCTACGCCTACCCGTGATCGCGATAGTGGCGTCTTCCATGGCGGGAAGAAACCAACCAAGGTGGTGGCGCGACATCTACTGCGGTGATGCAGCCGCGGTGGCTTCGCCACGGCCGTGCGTGTGTTCCCGACGTGCGCCCGTGCGTGCTCATGTCCAGGGGGCTTAGGAGGAGGTCTCAACGGCGTACGGCTCACCGTCGGTGTTGAGGGCGAGAGGATAGCGGCGCAGTGAAGAGTTGTGGCCGTGTAGCTCCGGAGGCAGTGCCGTGTCGTCCGCTCCGGCTTGATCCGCGGCGGCGCTCCGAGCTCCGGCATCTTCCCCCTCTTCTTCCTCTTCTCCCTCTTCTCTCTTGGCTTGGCGGGCTGTGGACGTTCACCGAGGTGGCGGCGGGGCGACGGGACGAGCGCTAGGGCTTTTATAGCCAAGCTCGGCCATGGAGCTCGGTGGACGGCGGATGGAGAACTAGGGGCGATCGGAGGGCTTTTAGCGAGGCTGGCTAGGGTTCTG